TTATAAAAAAAATACATTACTTTATAGATCTTATCCAAGACTATTTAGTAATATATTTATTTTTATGATTATATATTTATATATAAAGCCTTTGTAATTTAAAGTACTTAATAACTTTAAATTATTCACACTATAGTAAAATTAAAAACTTTTATATATAAGAAAAATTATATATTTTACTAATTATAATTAGTAAAAAATTTAAGTATTATATTATTTTTGATTATCACTATATATAAGTAAAATTATATACAAAATTATTTTTATTATAGTAATATCTTAAAAAATTTGAGCTTTAAAAAAATCAGACTAATATTATTTAATATATTATTATAATTATTATTTATTATTTATTATATATATATAAACTATAGAAAAAATTACAAGAAATCAATTAAAAATAACTTTATTATACTTTTAGCTTTTTTTATTTATTTAGATTTTTGTAAAATAGAAAATATTAATAATATTTTATTACTAAAAGAAATTAAGAAATATTTAAATTATCTATTTATACTAATAAATTTATTATAATTTCTTTTTTAAATAAATATTATAATATTAATATGAAGAATTTTAAATTATAATTTAGTCTTAATATAATAAATCTCTTGAATTGAAAAAATTAATCTGTATAGTAAGTATCTATTATTATATTATAATGGATTTATTAATAAAAATAATATATAATTTGATATAATAAATCTAATTAATTATATTTAAAAAATTATTTATTAGAGATTTAAATAAAATATATTATTTATACAGATTTAAAAAATAATCTAATAATATTTAATACTTAATAGTAATATTTTTTCATGTAATAATTTTATTTATATATCTAATTATTACTAATTTTTCTATAAAAATATCAAAATTATTATTTTATTATAAAAGAAATTTAATTAATCTTTTTGTAATATAATTATTTTTATATAAAAAAATTAATAGTTAATTAAAATATTATTATTATTATTTAATTAAATATTTTCATTATTATTATATTTATAATATATTTATTTAATTAAAATTACATTATCTAATATTTCTTTAATTAATAAAATATTATTTAAATATAAAAATTTATTAATATTAATTAAATTATTAATTAAAAATCTTGTAATTATAATATTTATTTTGTATATTTACTTATTTTTAATTATTAAAGTAATATAATAAGTAATATATTATTATTATTAATAAAAAAAATATTAGCTTGTTATTAATAATTTATAATTATATTATAAGTCATATTCTATTATATATTAATTGCAAAAATAAATTATATCAAGAATTATAAAAATAAGTAAATAGATATTTGATTAATTATAAATTAAATTATAAGCTTTAATTCTATTATTAATAAATCTTTCTTATAAAAATACTTGAATAAATAAATAATTTTTTAATTATATAACTAAAAATAAGTGATAATATTAAATAGCAAAAATTTAACTTGAATATTTTGCAATTTTATATCTTTTTCAAGTTTATATACTAATATATTATTAATAAAAAGAAGAATTTTTTTGTCCTATCTATTCAATTACTTATTTCAATTTTTTAAAATAGCAGTTTAAAAAAAAACTCTTAAATTAGAATTAATATTATAATTAAAAAAGATTTAATATATAAATATATCTATATTCAATATATTTTATTTTAAAAATAAAAAATTAGAAGATTATTAAAATTAATATTATAAAGTGAATATGATATTTTATATTTATAAATAAATATAAGCTTAAATTTTTATATTGTAAGTAATAAGATAAATAATTAATTCTTTAAAAAGCTTATAATCTGACTAATACTTAATAACAAGAGATTTTATTAGTTCTTATTTTCAAAAAATTTCTATTTTATTAGTATTCTGAATATCTTATAATAAATACTAAGCAATAATAATATATAATCTTTATTAAGCTCTACTATTAATAAAATACTATCATTCTTATTAAATTATAAATATTTTTATTCTATATCATACTTTAAATTATTTTAATCATTTTTTTAATTCATAAAATTACTGTTCTTCAAAATTAATAGCAAATTTTTTCATTATTTTTATAAGAACTTCATTAATTAATATTACTTATCTTGTAAGTATATATTATAATTAGCTTTTTATAACTTCTTTAATTATTAGATATTCTGACTGGTATTCTTTTTTTAATTATATTAATCATTTTTTTAATTTATAAAATTGCTATTCTTCAAAATTAATAGCAAATTTTTTTATTATTTTTATAAGAACTTTATCAATTAATACTATTTATCTTATAAGTATATATTATAATCAGCTTTTTATAACTTTTTTAATTATTAGATATTCTGATTAGTACTTTTTTTAGTTATATATAATACTTGTCATTTTGAAATTATAATTATTTATTTTGCTTTCATCAAATATTTGAGATAGCTTACTTAGATATTATATACTTAATAACAAGATTCTTTTGTTTAGATAACTTTTATACTAAAAGTTTTGACAAATTTCATATTTTATTACATCTGTAATTATTATATACCTGCATTTTATAGATGTAATATTGGATAATATACTTAATATTACTATATGATTATATAATAGTATTTAAAAAAATAGTACAAAATATAAAAATAATCTGTATATATATAAATTAATTAATTTTTAAAATAAACATATAATAAATAGATTAAAATAAAGCTTATATAATGAATTATCATTTTCAAATAGACTTATTTTTAACTTACTTTATGCTTTATCCAAAATAAATATATAAAATATCATAATTCATTAACAAAAAATAATAATAAATGATATTACATTATTGAAAGAAGAAAATATATGAAGTTCTAAAATATAATTATTAACCAAGATTCCAATAAGAACAATCTATTATAACCTAAAAAAATAAGATAAAAGGAGATATAAAGCACAGAGAGGAGAATAGTCATAAAAAACTTATAACTAATACTGATATTCATGGAATTAACCAGTATATTTGAAGAAATCCAATCATTTCTACTAAATTAATTGCAAGTAAATTAAAAGAAAAAGGATTTTAGTCTCTTGCATAGCTGTAGGATGATATTTAGCTGAACATGACTTTCAGTTATTATTAATTTGTGCCAATTAATCAAGAATGTGATATTATTTAACTGATAGCAATATGTTTGTTTATGTGCATGTCTTCCTTCTATTCTCTTGACATGATTTTGCTATTACTTTTACTTTTTCTATTACAAAAATAATCTTCCTCTTGCTATCCCCATGCTAACAAAGGCTCATAAAGAAAATTGAGTAATATGGGCCAAAAAAACACATAAATGACAATTGGAAATGGACAATTTTTACTGATGAAACAGCCTTCCAATTATTTTGAAACACAATTAAATATTGGCATAAAGGTGCAAGACCAATACATCCAATGCTGAAAGATTGATGTAAAATTATGGCATGGGATGGTTTCTGTGCAAAAGGGAAGACCAGTTTCTTTTGCTTCAGTCATATTATGGATGCAAATTTCTATGTTGGAATATTAGAACAACACCTTTGGAAATAAGAGAACTGTTGGAAGACAGATGGCGCTTCCAATAAGACAATGATCCTAAGCATACTCGCGTACTGCAAAGGAATTTCTTCAAAACAATGTTCAAATGGTTTTGGACTGGCCCTCCAACAGTCCTGACCTTAATCCTATTGAAAACCTTTGGAACATTGTTAAAACAAATGTGGAAAGGCGTAAACCAAAAAACTGTAAGGAATTGGAATGACTGAAGAGTGGGACAATATTCCAAAACTAATTATAAAAAATAATGGTGATCATATCCCATGTTAAATAATAAAACCAGCGCCTTTTAGGCTTTCAAATAAAGTTTAAATCATATGATTTGGAGCGTTAGAAGGAAATTCATTTGTGCCATTTTTTTTGAACACCACTGTACATGACAAAAATAATACTGATACAAAATTTGGTTGATGAGATGCTAGCAAATGTTAGCAACAAAATATATATTAAAAATGTCGATACGATAATATATAGTAAAATAATATGAAGTTTGATTGACGAGAGGATAACAAGTTGTTTAATAATGATAAAATTTTCCCATACCTCATTAGTTTGATAAATTAGTACATGTATGCAGTCCAATAAAATATGCACCCATGTAATGTCATCGTAACATGTTACATTTAAGCATGCCATTGATGCAAACATAATTTCAGCAATTCATATGCCTAACAAGCGAAATTTCGAATGAACGGCATCCCGAACACACGAAATCGTGAATAAACGAAATTCCCAAATAAACGGCATCCCGAATGAACTCTCGAATAAGCGGCATCCCCGAATATACGAAGATACAAATGACAAAATTATCACAATATCGGGATTTCGTGCATTCGGGATAATTTCGTTCACCGTTCGTTTGGAATTTCTTGCATGCTGTTTGTAGGGAATTGGCCAATTTGGCAGCGGACTTACTATGTTACACAAGTCAATCCGTAACCGCTATAAACGTGTGTTGTTATGAACATCCGTAATAACGGGAGAAAATCACTATTTAAAATTTGGTTCTGACACATTGGTCCGGTATAATAAGGGAACCGGTTCAACGGGGCCCGCTATAGCGAGGCTAGACTGTAGCTAACTTTGTATAATACAAATTTGAGAGACTCCTTTTACAAGATATCTAAACTGTTAAGTCTTTCATTCGAAAAATTGTCTTATATATAAAATTTATTCTTCATAGAACTTCTATTCTGTATTAAATGCCAACGTTTTATTTTATCGTTATTGTCGTGTTAAAGAAAAGCCACGTCTCCAGTTGTGTTGTATACACATTCATTTTTTTGCTTGCTATTTCTATCAGAAGTTAAAGCGCGTAAGAATTTCATACACGTATTTTTTGATGTATTAAAATGTACAGAATTTGGATCTCCATAGATAATGTAGATCTTTGCAAATTACACATGTTATTACATGTTATAGCTCATTTTCCTCCCAAAAGAAATCATGGAATTTTTCTTTTTGTCCAATATTCAATCTGCCGCTATACTGTTAATTTTTACGATCCTAATAAAATTTATCCAAGAACGACGACGAAAAAAATTTGCAAGTATTCTGACAAATTACGGTTTTTATTTATAACAAACTGATGATTGAAAAATATTTTTTTAAAGAATGAACCACCGATAGCCTCTTATAAGATACCATTAATTGGACATACGCTTGATTTTTTATACGATACAGAAAACTTTTTGGACAGATGTCATAATGAGGTTATATCTCGCCAAATTCAATATGAAATCAAAATCAAAATAATTAATTGTTTTTTTTTCAAATAATTAATTAAAAGTGTGGTGACATTTTTTCGATCTATGTATTTGGTCAAGTTACTACAATTGTTGCGAAGTCTGCAGCTTATGAAATCTTCACGACAGATCAAGTTACTGGCGCTGAAGCTTTCGATCGGGTATAGCCCTTTTGTTTTCATAATACTTATAATTTTTAGCTAAATAAAGTCTAAAATTATATTTCCCATAGAAACTTCATATTCGTGAAGTATTTGAAAAGCCTGTTCCACAATACCTTGACAGAATCGCCGATCTCGTCAAACAAGATTTTACTCCTTACATGCCAGATGCCATCGCGCTTATAAGTCGAGAAATAGAAAGCACGTTACGAAAATACATCGGCGATTGTAAAGGTCATTTACCTTTTCTTTGTCAAAATTCTCCTTTCAGTTATAATTTTAAAAAATTTGATAATATTAGAACCTAAATTTTTCCCGCGACCGTTTCGTCTCGTTCAAAAGATACTTGCCGAACTTGTGGCCCTTGTATTTTTCGGCGAGGTATTTGCTTCTCACATCACAAAAAAGCTGAACTTTTCAAATTGCTTGGATTATCTTTATTGAAAAAAATTAGGAATTGGGCAGAGATCCGGATCTAATTTATGTCATTGCTAATGTCACAATTGACCTTCGAGAGAGAGACAAATTGGTGCCATATATTGCCTTCATTCCGGAAAAGTTTCATAAACAGTTAATATCAACTTAATTTTTTATTAGTTGAGCACCGCTAAAATTAATGACAATGATTCTTATGTAAATTCGCGATTTTGTAGTTTTGGCGAAAGCCCTGTTAAAAAACATAAATCTATACTAATTGAACGAATAAAACATGCCATCGATGAATGTGTAAAAGACGCGGCAAATGGGACCAATAAAAATGCGCCGGTATATTATTTTTTTATTTTTTTTTATCTGCACTATAATATCTCTCATCATATCGTGGTTGGAAAACTTTGCGGCGACGTGAAAGATTGATCTCATCCGGGCGCTAGTACGACAACTAAATATCACCGAAGAGAACAAAGACTACGATTTAATAGCAAGCAACATTCTTTTGGTGATTTTGGTTTCGATCTCTAATACGGCTGTTACAATAACTGAATGCCTATTTGGTAAAAATTTGATTATTTCTTTTTGATTCCATATGATAATTTACATATTCTTTTTTGAAGATTATGCCGGCCACCCGGAATACTGGGACGAAATTACGAAAGAAAGGGAAACATTATTAGGAGCGAACTATAGTAATAATAATTTTCCTGTTTTCAATTCCGAAATGCTCGGAAAAATGGAAAGGCTGGATAGTTTCATAAGAGAATCGATGCGGCAAAAGGAACATCTTTGTGGGTGAACATTAATTATTTTTGGATTTCATTCAACTCGAGTGGTTTTAATTTTCTGCTATTATTAGTACTGTTACCTCGTAAAGTGGTCGTAGATAGGTTCATCTTTTCCAATGGATACCAAATACCAAAAGGTAGACACAAAATTTATCTTCAAGAAAATCCTTGCATTAATTATTAATCGCCTATGATATAATATCAAGGACGTCAAGTCCAAATCTATGCCAAAAGTATACGACTTGACGAATCTCTCCATGGTACTCCACTTGAATTTACCGGATTCAGATACGTCGGCAAAAAAAGTTCTTCAACAAAGATCACTCGTGATATTTACCATTTCGGTCTTGGTCGTCATGCGTGTCCTGGTCGATTTTTTGCTGTCGATGTGATGAAAGTAGTTGTGAGCGGAATCTTGGCAAGGTATCATGTTACGACGGAGAGTGGTGTCAGGCCGAGACCTGTTATGAATTTAGGATTTGCAAGCGCTAGCCACGAGGCTCTAGTGTTTGTAATAAATTAATATATTTAAATGTTAAATGATTTATAAATTTATTATTTGGTTATTTTTTTCTTTCAAAAAAATCGATTGGTCACAGATATATTTATATTTAGTACATGTGCATGTACTTGCTTAAGCATAAAGCGTGCAATAAATTAAATCCTATGATAGATATGTATGTGTGGTCTGCACGTGTAATGTAGGATAAATAATTAATTTGTGTTGTATCACAGACATTTTATCCATACGACGGAGATTAATTCGGGAAAGCATATTTCGGCTTTCGAAATCAACATATAACTTAGTGCATTCATTCCTTTTTTTGTTATTCTCTCTTTTATTTTTCCTATTTACTAAATTTTTCACTTAAAAAGGAGCGGGATTATTTACTTTGCTCTACAGTGAAAAATAATACATTCCTTGATCATAACAAAAAGAAAGCACACATACTAGTGTGTTCTCTTCTTATCACTCCTAATTCCTACTTCCCCAATTTTACCGCTGGTCGTAAAATAAATCTTTTCCCATACAAACAAAAGACATTATTTCACCATGCACTCTTTCTTTTTAAACCGTTTCTTCTTTCTCGGAGTACTAACAATCCTATTATCAAACATTGTTGTCAACAATGCTACTTTATTTCCCACTTCTCCGGATGGCAATTCAATTTTCAAGCCCGGTGACCAAGTAAGTTTTGGAACTTCAATATTCTCGCATATTATTATACAAATAGACTCGTTTTTTATTTTTATTCATTTATTATAGATTGAAATTACATGGAAAGACGACCCAAGAGCACCTTCACTTTCCACGTTGGGATCAATAAAAGTCGACTTTATGACAGGCGGGGATCTTCAACAAATTATGCTCTCTACAATCGGCACAGTCCCTGGGGCTGACGGGAAAATAACATTTACTATACCTACAGTTGAACCGGCCGGAAAGAGTGAGTTAAACAATTATCGGTGATAGAAATATTTGCCGGGAGTTTGTGATAGCGGCAGCAGCACGACTTTCTAAACAAAAGAAGTAACGTCGGCTTAAAAATAAACTTCTCTGCGCTCGTTCAACACGAATATATATCTCATTATTTATAAATATTCTATTTTTATATAGTTTATTTTATTAGATTCACCAGCGGCGCAGATAGTACCAAATTATTCTTTACAACCCGGTTCATAATCACCGATCAGCAAGGTAAATACCCACCGCCACCAAACCCACCGCCGCCAGTTGGCAAAAACCCGGGTGGAAATGGTAAAATTGTATCCGATGTTACAAATAATACATCAGCAAATTCTTCGGCTAACCAATCAGCCGGAAATTCATCAGCTGCTAATAGTACAGATGTAGTTGTCCATACAATGAGTACTAATACTACTGCCACTAATAGCAATAGTACTGGCTCAAATAGTACTTCTTCTAGTACTACAACCCATTCTGCGGCACCAAATGGATTCCAAGTTCCCGAATTGATTATTGCACTCGCTACTTTATTGATTACTACAACTTGTTATTTATTGTAGTTTTAATTAAAGTTTGTAACTGGTAATTTGCTTGAAATCTAGATAGAAGAAAACGATCACATTTATTCGTTTATTCATTCTTTCCTTTAAAACTCTTGCGATACATTGATATTTGAAACAAAATTCGTAAAAAATATTACTAATAAGAAAAATCATTGTTCAATAAAAATAGAAATTCCTAAATTAGAGACCTAAATTTTTTGTCCACCAATACATGTTTGTCAATCACTAATAAAATTTTTGATCAACCCGGCAAAGACAAATCCAACGCAAAGTAATAAAAAAGTGAGAAATTTGAACCTTACAAGAAAACCGATGCTTAAACCTGTCTTTAAAAATGACAAGGAAGGCAGTTTTACGCATAATTTTGTTCTCTGATCCTTTATCCTGACTTTATTGTTGCACGTTGAAAAATTTAGAGGGATTGAATCACATGTCCACCAATAATAGCAATAATTTACCCCGAAAAATAATACCAAACGTGAATTAATACGCCCGGAGAGGGGCTCGAACCCTCGACCTTAAGGTTAAAAGCCTCACGCTCTACCGACTGAGCTATCCGGGCTTGATATCTAAGGTGGTTATTTTTGATTATATAAAGATGAGAAAATAATGAATACGATTTTTTATGACAAAAGAATTTCAGATTCTATAAATATTTATTATACACAAATTTTTCGACATCATATTTTCTCTATGTTATTTTTTGCAAATTAAACCCTAAAAGTCTTTTATCCCATGTTTTAATTGGTCTCTCATGTATCTGAAAATGTATAGATTTTAGTTTGCTAGCCATACACTCAACCATCACGTCTAAATGGTTACCGCCGTAACAGGAACAGTTGTAAATTTCGATTTTCGCGGTTTCAGGCATGGTTTTCAGTAATGAATTATAAATGGCAGAATCATATGGTACAGAGACTTTTAATCGAAGATTTTCAAGTTTGTGTAAATGTTCTGATGTTATTGCCATTAATTGATATAATTGAGTGAGAAGATGTTTCGGCTGTTGAGAGATTAGTGATCCAAGAAGATTCAATTCTTTTAAATTCGGACAGAATTCGAATAAATCTGTAACGTAGTCCAATTCTTCCATTAGGAAATATGCTTGAAGCTTTTGCAAATTTGGACAATTGTCCGCAATTATTGACAGTACATCACGTGTTTCTTCTGTTGTCCCGAATGCTGCATGACCAATTATGATTGTTTCTATGCTTTTATTAGATTGACAAAGAATGGCTTTGAATGTCTCGTAGGGGAAATTGGTTGAAATATTTAAACTTTTTAAACGAGGAAATGTCGATGATGTGATTAGGTTAGACCATTCAGGTGTGAATACGCCTTTACATTTATGCACTTCAAAAGATTGAAAATTTCGACAAACTGATAAACCGGCTAGACTTGACCATTTGGATGTTGAAATACAGGTGAGCGAGAGTCGACGAAACGTTTTCGATTGGGAAGCAATTGCGTCACAAATAGTATTTAAATCAAGATCT